AGAGACAGCATGAAAAGTCAGCTGAGTACAAAACATAGAGAGGAAAACAAGAAGAAAAGGGACAAGAAGAGAGGGACACAACCTAGAACAGATAATGGATGTCTATTCTATTAACATTTCTCATTATCAGTTTGTATGAAATCGTACGAAAAGTTATGCACAGTATTTCGTACGCTTTGGACGTTTTTCCTCGAAAATACAGATCAGTGCGCAGCCAGACAGACGAAAAAAGCAGATCCGCGGACGGACGCAAAACTGGGATTCACAGTGCAATAATCCCTTCTTCAGGTCTCTAACTAGGTTGCTTGCTGTTTTGTATCTTAGGGTTAGGGTCAGGGTAAATTCTATGTTAAATTCTATGTTATTTAATGGTGCGTAAGATGCGCATGCGCAAGGATATCTTGTCTCAAGGCAAGACGTAAAAATACGACGAAATGCGACGAAAAAACGTCTAAAACGTACAAAATGACGGTGCATAACTCTTCGTACGATTTCATACAAACTAATAATGAGAATACACTGATTCTATTAACTGCCTGTCTTTGCCTAGGGCCCCAGATTTCCTAAATCCACCCCTGCTCCCAGCTAAAGTGGCTAAAGTTACTTAACTGATCTGATTATCATGCAAATCATCAGGTTTATTTGTAAAAAAAAAAAAAAATGGAGTTTCAATCTGGTTATCTACATCTATTAAGGTTCCAGCTCTGTTCATTATTTGGTTGCATATCAGTGAACAAAGGCATCAGTTGGTTTAAATGCAAACAGTAAGCTAATAACTGTCCACAGGATGCATAGATGGCTCCTTTTCTGTGATCTAAGAGAAGATTAGAAAGGTAAATCCTGCAGCACCCACAGGTTAAAACATTCCCAGCAATGAGAGTTGTTGGTGTTTGATGACGTAAAAGCTGCTGCAGTCCAGCCATAAACAGAGTGGACATGATGACAGGGAGGGATGTTCAGAGCAGTGAACGGGAATCCTTCAGATCAACAAATAAACAAAGCAGCCTCTCTGCTGTCAGCTGCAGGGACGCTTCAGACACCAGCTCCTCCTGGACATCCTGCTCCTCCTTTGTCTCCCAGACTCCTCCAGCCTGCGTCCTCTGCTGTCAAATCAAATTCCTCGCTCTCCATCATACCCCCCCCCTCCATCTTCCTCCATCTTCTCTCTCTGGATGACTTATTCCAGCCTCCATAAGCTGCCAGATTATACCTTTAACGGGTCTGATGACATGACAATGTGAACTGATTAAACACCATGTCTGTTTTCTCACATGGGAAGAGCAAACAAAGCCTGCAGAGACAGTGATTGTTGCATTAGAGGTGTGTTATAATTCATTCAGAGCTGCTGTCCTTCTGGTTCAGAGTAAAGGAGAAACTGAGTCTCTAATAAAGAGGAGGAGGCTTCCCTTTATCTCACCTCCTGCAGAAGGAGATCAGATATTTGTGGAACAATGACAACAAAAGGAAGCCAGCTGTTTGTTTCTCTATGGCCTTCACCCTGCAGCTCCCAGCCCATGCATGCATCCCCCTCATCCAGACCCGGACCATGCCTACCTTCTCGGCTCCTCTATGTTTCTTGGCCGCTGGAGGCTCGTCGTGCAGCCGCCTGACAACAATAGCTCCCGCGCCGTTCTTTACTCCACAGTCCGGCGCTGGTTTCCCGGAGGCTCCGGGGATGGTGGTGCTTTCCCCCGCGGGGATCCGGGGCTCCGGCACGGGGCCGAGGCAGTGTCCGGGGCCCAGGTGATGCTCCGGCAGGAAGGCGGAGGAGGGCGGAGGAGATGGGCCATCATCGCCGGGCTTCTCCTTCCTGACCCGGCCGGGCGCAACGGGTGCGTCCCGGTCTCTCTTCCAGCCCCGGATCAGGTTCTTGCCCTTCCTGTCCTCCTTGCCTTTGGCCGCAGGAGGTGCGGCCGCGCCGGGCTCCTGCATCCCGCCGCTGCTGTTATTGTTTCCGTCCGCATCCCTGCCGGCCGCTGAAATCATCTCTTCTGCGCCTCCGCCGCTGCGCCCTTGAGGCTGCGGCCGCAGATGAACACCGAGCCCCGGACGCGCTTCCGGATGATCCGCCGCCCCCTCCGGATCCTCCCTTCCGTCCTGGCCGCCTCGGCTGCGTTTGAGCGCGGATCTCCTCGGCTCCGACCCGCCGCCTGGTCCCCGGGTCTGGAGCGAGGACAGGGCCGCGTGTCTGTGGGCTGAGGAGGAGGAGGAGATGCAGGAGGAGGAGGAGGAGGAGGAGGAGGCGGTGTGGTTGTGTGACAGCTCCCTGCAGTCTGTCAGCAGCTCTCCATTCTCCTCAGCTCTCAGGAAACGTTTCATCTCCTCCTCTCCTCTCCTTTGTTGATCTCCGCGATCATCAGCATTCAGGTCATCATCGGAGCGCCAGCAGCCGCAGTGAAGCTCAGAGGTGGAGGAGACTCTGATGGAGCCTCTGATGGAGCCTCTGATGGAGCCCTGATGGAGCCCCTGATGGAGCCTCTGATGGAGCCCTGATGGAGCCCCTGATGGAGCCTCTGATG